CTGTAGATTTTCCTAATCTGTATTATCATTTAACTTATTGCGGAAAAACCCATTATCAAGCCGCAGGTTTCTTGAATTTCCCGAAAAATTGAAATGGTGGTTAGGAGGTCGTGTACTCCAACTTACCTGAAGTCCAACTTACCGTTCTGGGGTTAGATTTGGTATAGTCCGCGCGGGAAAGCGCGCGCACACCTTCAATTTACATGCGGAACAACCTGCTCCCAGCGGCCGCGAGCAGCAACTTCGACTACATTTTTTCCCTTTTCACTTCTAAAAATTTCCCTCTCTGCCTATCCTATTTCCCCGCCCCACAGTATCTATAACCACCGTTTTTGCAGGACAAAATGCTGGGACTAGGGGTATATGAGTGGGGCTACATAAGCTACTTTTGCCCTTTTGCCATTCTACCCTCCCTGATGACAATTATGGAAAATGTACGTTTGCCAAACTTGGCTTCTCAAAATTATTATTGTACTCATTTGGGAAGTAGATCACACCTTTAAGCTTAGTAAGGGTGTATTTAGGTTTTGGAAAAGCGTTCCAAATTATGGAAAAAAACCTGAACCCGATCTACCGTAGCATTTGCGTTTAGAGTTTTCAGTCTACAAGCCGTGTGCATTCGGTGTTAGAAAAATAATACACTCTCCTATACCACTAAGAAGAGAGTATAGAGAGCTCCTAAGATCGTGCAATGGATATGGTGCGTGCTGTATACTTAATAAGGAGGGTTAATAAACGGACAGATAAGACGCTATTTGAAAGGCCATTGTGCGGTTTTAAAAGGTCTACTAGTTACCAACTTTATAAAAACTGACAAAATGCTTCTCCGAATACTTATTTAAAAGAAGCTACGATGGCATATAAACTTAGTACACGAAAGCACATTTTGACCATATCTTCTATAAAACAAATTTTAAGGGCAGCAAAAGTCAATAAAAAAGTGCATACTACTTAACTAGTCATTCTTCCTGATATGTTTTTGTATGCAACCCGAAGGCAGTAAATTCAAAGGTCAGCATCTTGGCGTGTTCGGAATATCGTGGGATTAGGCCGTACGATACTTGATATTTGAACCCCACTTAAGTTATCTTTAAGGATTTTGGTTAACATTTCATCAGATCGTTCACTGACTGTAGATGCACATTGTCGGTCGTCTTTTTGCAGCCCGTGAGCCACATTCACGACCAGAAGCCTCTCAAAGGCCAGTGTCTTACAATTTATTTCTCACGGACGATAAGCCCGAAAGAGCCTAAAGTACCCGAGCCGGTGGACAAGTCTCATTCCTCTGCACTCGATTATTTTTCATCAAATTCTCCACCTCCGGCTAATCACAGTATCGCACACCCCTTTGCTCTCTGAGTTTTTTTCTGGCTCGGCTGTTTGCCTCTTATTAGTCCCCGAAGAACGCATTTCGCACAAGTTATCGCGGTTTAATTGGGCCACTGGGTCTTCCAGCGCATAATTCACTAATGAAAAAGCAGTTGTCTCCCTATTTATCCCGTCTGTGAGGCTTCCGAACACTGGGCACTCCTTGACTGTCCTGCCCCCACCTCTCGCCGTTCTCTCTGAACGCGCTCACTTGCGGCGTGTTTCACCGCTTCGGCGACCCAATGCGATGCCGGAGTAACTTGCGGCGGTTAAGCATGTCAGCCTGAAACTGTTTATTTTTCTGGCGTAGTTTGTTAAACAGGCAGTTTCACCTCTCGACCGGTGGACATTACAGCTGACCTCAGCACCTCCTATCCAGGCAATTTAATTTAGCGGTGGTCTGGTGCAGTTTATTTGCCCATAAATCTATGGTTGGCCAGTAGGTATTTGCATCTTCCGGAAGGCTACCTATAATTTTAAAACGCAATCCGTAAACCAACAGTTTTGTCTCCTTACTTAACCAGCAGCGTGTTACTGATCAACCACACCTAACCCCTCGGGTTCCATGTTGAGAAGAAGCCAATCCGCTGCTATAGTTTTAAGAAATAAGAATAAGCAAATGCCTTGTTAATATAAGCCACATAAATGTTTTTGTCAGTGGATGGTTAAAAATAACAGAGAAAACATAAAACTTTTCGCAACACAAGTTCGGTTTGACCTACATTGTCCCGGCCTTTGAATTGTAGGTTACGGATCAAGGGTTTACTTTAGGACATAGCCAGTCCCAGTAATAGAGCTTGCTCCTGCCTAATTGTGCCTCTCCTTATTTCAGGTTGACTGGATCGTTCAGTACGATCCACCAGATGATCCCAAGGACTATATTCACCGTGTGGGTCGAACTGCTCGGGCGGGCAAATCAGGCAACGCTCTCCTCATACTCCGGCCTCACGAGCTGGGACTGCTTGATGTCCTGCGTGAGTCCAGGGTCAAGATGATCGAATTTGAAGTGGCCAAGAACAAAATGGCAGACGTGCAGTCGGCGCT